CATTAAGTGTGCAGGGGCGTTTCTTAACCATTAGGGACTCCGTGAGGATGGTATAAAAGCTCTCCTTCTTCCACTGTTCACCAACAGCTTCACCTCTCATCATCTCTCAACTTCCCACTCATCAAAACAACACAGGTAAGCTTGGCTTGTCCAAGTCCTTGCATAGATCAAATGGGTAAAAGCTGGAGGAAGGCCAATCTTGGTTGGACATAGCACAGTTTGTAGGAAAGCAGGGAGCATAGGAAGCTGTCTTATATCAAGTCAGATGATTGGTCTATCTAGCTCAGTATTGTCTACACTAGGAGTGGGAAACCTTTGGTCCTCCAGAGGTTGCTGAACCATAGCTTCCGTCATCCTTAGCAAGCATGGCCAATGGCCAGGGATGATGGATGTATTAGTTCAGCAGTCCTTGGAGGGTAAAAGATTCCCCACAACTAGTCTACATTGGGTTCCACACTGGGTGTACCTGTCACCCCTACCTGAAGATGCTGGGTGTTGAACTAGGGCCTTTTGCATACAAAGTAGATGTTTTAAACAGAGCCAGAATCCTTCTCCAAAGAAACCGATTGGTTTGATGAAGGAAGCGATCAACTGGAGAGTTGGGTAGTCAATATCTCCTGCGCTGGAGGTCTGGATTGCCTCCATCAAAGCAGGGAGATAGGAATTGATGGTGTAAAAAGCTACAGTTCTGTGATTCTTTATGGAGAGCTTTTAGAATAGTTACACTGATTCATCTCAGAAGAAGCTCCAGTTTGCTCCCATTTACAGTGGTACCTCAGGTTACAGACACTTCAGGTTACAGATGTTTCAGGTTACAGACTCCACTAACCCAGAAATATTACCTCGGGTTAAGAACTTTGCTTCAGGATGAGAACAGAAATCGTGCTCTGGCAGCGCGGCGGCAGCGGGAGGCCCCATTAGCTAAAGTGGTGCTTCAGGTTAAGAACAGTTTCAGGTTAAGATGGACCTCCGGAACGAATTAAGTTCTTAACCCGAGATACCACTGTACTTATACCTGCCAATGTAGGACTTGACTCAGAGATTTAAAATACTAATGCACATTTATACTAAATCTCCATGGTGTATTTGTGCTACCTGGTTCCTTTGAAGTATATCTCTTAGACTTCCACACACATATCTAGCTCTTTTGAATTTCCAACGCCTTTCAACAGTTAGCTGGGGATTTAGAATGCCACATTCTCAGCATGTTTTACCCTCTATGCTTGGAGAGTCTACTTATGATACAAACTTAAAACTGATTTAATATTTCTTCTCTCTTTGGAAACAGAGATGTAATTCTGTGTGCGAGAGGGTAGAGATTTCTTTCAGAATCCTCATCTAAATAGCAGTATTGGGGGCTGCTGTTGGATCAGGCAAATGGCTCTTGTTGTTCAGCATCCTTTTCTCACACAGGCCAATCAGAGGCCTGTTGAAAGCCCATCCGTAAGATCCACATGCAATGGCAATCTCCCCTTCTGAAGTTTCCAGCAAATGGTATTCAGAAGCATGATGCCTGTAACTGGTGAGGCAGAGCATAACCATCATGGGATTGGCCGTTAGATCATCTAGCTCAGAGCTCCCTGCATTAGTGTTTCAACCTTGAGTCCACTGGAGTTGTTGAACTAAAATTAAGTCCCTGCCTCTTTTCCCAGTTCTTCAGATATGGCAGTCAATTTCTGATAGGCCACTTCTCCCCTCCTTCCATGAGAACTATTGTCAAGAATAAAATGTCCCTACTGGCCTCAAAAGACTGGCAACACCAGCTTCTGATATAACAAGGGGGGGGGGTGATAAAGATGCTCAGTACAAGGTCTGGTTTATCCCTCGCTTGATATACTATGCCACTGAGAATACATAGGGCTGTATTGCATGTTTCTCTACGTATTCCATGTTTTTCCATGTAGACCCATTTAATCAATGGACATGTCTACTCAGATTGGTAGTTGGATGCAACCCATAGTTTTCATTGCTGTTGTGAATTACAATGTTTCTTGGCTATAATATGTGCCTGCCTATGTCTTTCCAGACTCAACCATGGCTAACTGTGGACCTTCCTGCGCCGTCCCATCTTGTGCTTCCACCCCAGTCGTTGGTTTTGGATCAGCCGGCCTTGGCTGTGGTTTTGGCGGTGGCCTTGGCGGTGGATTGGGTGGTGGATTTGGCGGTGGATTTGGCTATGGTTCTGGCTATGGCTATGGCTCCGGTGCCCTGGTTGGATCCGGCGTCCCATCTGCCAGTCTTGGTATTCTTTCTGGAGTCCAGCCTTCATGCGTCAACCAGATCCCACCAGCAGAGGTCGTCATCCAGCCACCTGCCTCCATCGTGACCATCCCAGGAGCCATCCTCTCTGCCAGTTGTGAGCCTGTGGCTGTCGGAGGCAACACCCCATGTGCTGCTGGAGGTTATGGATCCGGATTTGGCAGCGGATTTGGCGGCGGATATGGCAGAGGGCTCTATGGTGGTGCAGGTCTTCTGGGGTCTAGCTCTGGTGGTTTGGGGGGCCGTGGCCGTTATGGGTTTGTGGGGCGTAGAGGCAGCATCTGCTATACCCCCTGCTAAGCTCTCACGGTCTGTCAAGAAGGAGGAAAGAAAAAGAGATCTGTGGTGGACTATTTCGGTCTGATTTTAGATATGCTGAGCACCCAAACTCCCTAGGCAATCCCAATGGGAGCTGGGAGAGTGTTCTGCATCCCTTGTAATCAGACCCATCTAGAACCTGTAGCTGTTTCCAGTTTAATTTTATCTCTTTCCCCTGCTAGTTACTATGATATTTATTTGCCTATGTCTCTTTGAAACACACCAATTCACATTGGGAAGAAAAGCACAAGATCCATTCACTATGTCTATGAAATTAGCATGCAAGTGTAAATATGTGTAATTGGGACTTAATGTAAGGTAGGTGGAAAGAATGCTCTATAAATGTAGAACCCTCTACTCTACCTCCAACCTGAAAAAAATAATTCTAAAGGAGAAGCTGTTCACTGGAATGTGTTCTTTTTGCTTTATTGTTTTCCAGTATGCTTAGTATTCACTTGAATACTTTTACTGTTTGAAATTCCCAATAAAACTTTTTCTGCATCATAGCACTGGCTTTCTGGTTTTCCCTTTATGTGGCAGCACAATCCTATATCCGTCTACCAAGAAATAAGTTCCTTTCAATACAGTTCAATGCAACTTACTCAAAAGCAAGTCGGTTCAGGGTCACAACCTTAAGAACATAACTCATATCCTCTTCAAACTTCAAATTTGGATTTGAGGAACATTTAATGAACATTCCATTCATTTTTTGGATTCTGTAGATCAAATTGATTTACTGATACCAAATAACTATAAAAATTGACCACTGTTTTTTTAGTCTCAAAGGATTTAACCAATTGTTCTAATACCTCTGTTGTCTTTGATGCTGGAAGTCTGCCAAAGGCCTGATAGACATAGCTGTCAACTTTTCCCTTTTCTTGCAAGGAATCCTATTCAGAAGAAGGGAATTTCTCTTTTAAAAAGGGAAACGTTGACAGCTGTGCTGAGAGAAGAGCAATAGAAGAGAAGATATGGCAGAGGGCTCATTTGTGGTGCAGATACTCTGTTTTTTGTGTGCGTTTTTTAAAAATACAATTTATTGATTTTATGACACAAAAAAGAAAGACACACACTACAAACATATCATAAATTTTAACTCAATTGACTTCCCTCCACTTCCCCTCTTGGTTCCATTGTTATATGCTTATTCATGCATGTCCGTTAAACTTTATACAGTGGTAATAATAATAATAATAATAATAATAATAATAATAATTTTTATTTATACCCCGCCCTCCCCAGCCAAGGCTGGGCTCAGGGCGGCTAACAAGCAATAATAAAAACAAGTTGAATGAATACAACTTAAAAACAAGATTAAAATACAACATTAAAATATAGAAACATTAAAATATTAATGTTTTATTAATGGTACCTTGGGTTACAAACGCTTCATGTTACAAACACTTTGAGTTACAAATTCCACCACCCCAGAAGTAGTACCTCGGGTTGAGAACTTTGCTGACGGCGCGGCAGCAGTGGGAGGCGCCATTAGCTAAAGTGGTACCTCAGGTTAAGAACGGTTTCAGGTTAAGAATGGACCTCCAGAACGAATTAAGTTCGTAACCCAAGGTACCACTGTATTCTTAACAGTCCAATGTTAAAACCTTACTCATCTTAATACAAGTGATTTTTGTAAGTTTTACTAATGTGGAAGTCTATACACAACACTTGAAAAATATGCATTAAACATTTCCCTTTTTAAATATCATGGCTTCTGTTTTTTTTAACAAAAAATCATTTTCAACATTGTCTTCAAGTCTTTATATGTCATGTCCCAGGCCTTTTTGATAACTTTACACTATCACCACATAGAGTAGCCTTTCATACAATTTGCCCTCCCTTCCTGTTTCATCTTCATCACAGTCAAAGCCTCCCAAATTTATTCACACGGGATGCCAGTTTTATCTTGGACCACCCTTACTTATCCTTGCATTTTCCTCGAACCTCATTCCTCTACTATTCCCACCTTAGTGGTTTTTACATTCCCCTCTTTAAATTGTCCCACTGCCTCTGAAAGTAAATCGGGTTTTTTTTCAAATTTGAGAAACTGCATTATCAACATTTTCCTTCTGCCATGTCTAATCTGGTATTGGGGGGGGGGATTCTCTCCCTGTTTCCCAACTTCCTCTACATGGTTAAATTTCAAAACAAAGAGTCCTTTCCACCAAGGAAAGTGTTATTTTTAACTTTATCAGTATTTGGTCAAAGTCATTTTGCTATACAGTGGTACCTTGGGTTACATACGCTTCAGGTTACATATGCTTCAGGTTACAGACTCCGCTAACCCAGAAAGAGTGCCTCAGGTTAAGGACTTTGCTTCAGGATGAGAACAGAAATCGTGCTCCGGCGGCATGGCAGCAGCAGGAGGCCCCATTAGCTAAAGTGGTCTTCAGGTTAAGAAAAGTTTCAGGTTAAGAACGGACCTTCGGAACGAATTAAGTACTTAACCCGAGGTACCACTGTATTCAGTAGAGAAAACCAGTACAGTGGTACCTCAGGTTAAGAACTTAATTCATTCTGGAGGTCCATTCTTAACCTGAAACTGTTCTTAACCTGAGGTACCACTTTAGCTAATGGGGCCTCCTGCTGCCACCGCACAATTTCTGTTCTCATCCTGAAGCAAAGTTCTTAACCTGAGGTACTATTTCTGGGTTAGCGGAGTCTGTAACTTAAAGTGTCTGTAACCTGAAACGTCTGTAACCCGAGGTACCACTGTACTTCTAACCTCTTCCCTCCCCTCCTCCCACATTGCTCACAGATACAAAATTTAACAATTATATATTCAAATCTTAACATTCCTTCACACCAAAGTAATTTTTAGTATCCAATATAAATAAAACTGATTTTTATTTTAAATCTGATTTTGTCCAATATTAGCTATGGGTATTATAGTCCTCTTCTTTCAATCTTGATTTTTAACCAGCTGATGCCTTTTAATAAAATAAGTCCACAATTCTAACTCCATTAGGTTTGGTATCTTCAGTGACTCTGAAAAGCCCAGAAACTCTTTTCCAAAGGTAAAAAAAATTCAGAGAGTCAGTCCTGTCTTTCTTCCAGAGAAGAAAATTATAGTATTCTTCCATTAAATAACATTGTAATCCTTCTCAGGTTTAACCTCCATTTTCAGTCAAGTTCATTAGCGCCATAAGATAAGTTCAGATTCAAATTGAATTCAAGTCAAGTTTGCTTTTTTAAAAAATTGAGATTGATATAAACCAGCCTTTCTCAACCAGTGGGCCAGAGCTCAGGGATGATGGGAGTTGTAGTCCAACAACATCTGGGGACCCACAGGTTGAAACGAAAGCTGTGTAAAACCTTTTAGTCCTTATTGTTCATTAGTTAACTTGTCTTCCAAAGTAAACTCCATCAGCACTTCACTTGTATGGATTCGTGCTCGAAGACCCCAAAAGGGAAGTAGATTTCCTTTTCCCCCTCCCGCTTTGCTGAATTAAATTAGTCAAATTAAACTGATCATCCTCCTCACCTTTCAATCACCTCAATGTACTGAAAAGGTAACCGCTCGTGGCTGGATCAGAGGCTTTGCTCTATGGAGCTGCTTTGGTGCCTGGCTCGGCTCTCCCCCCCCCCCCAACGCACTTTTCAGTACAGTGGCAGGGACAGACTATGCCAATGTGCCATCAGTGAGCAGCAGGACCCTGAGACACCCCAATACTCCTCTTGGAGCTTTTTGGGGAGGTGCGTCGCCCTTGCACTCTTCTACTCTTCTACACATTAAACAATAATTTAATATACAGTGGTACCTTGGTTTGCATACATTTTGGATTATTAACATTTCAAACCCAGAAGTGTGTGTCCCAGTTTGCAACCTTTTTTTGGATTACAGCCCATTTTTTTTGGATTACGAACAGATTTTTTTTTGGAGGCCCCATTGGCGAAAGCGCGCTTTGGGTTACCACCTGTTTTGGTTTACAAATGGACCACCGGAATGGATTATGGTTGTAAACCAAGGTACCACTTTTTAGCTAGATTTACAGGTGTGCATAGCTCTAGCAAACTCTGTCCAAAGTAGTGAAATGCTACAGACCTCGCATTGAGGTTCTATACGACTAAATAACATGTTTTCTGGAAAGGAGTTTAGGTGAGTGATGCTGTGGAAAAGAGTGCTGGGGAGGACTAGTACAATGTTATGCCAAAGCCACTTCCGACCTCAGGAGGCGGTGGTGTTGCGGGCTCACGCCTCCAACACGCACGCGGAGGCTGGCTTCCAGCCCCGCATGATCTGGGGAATCCTCTGCCTCATCATTGCCTGGCCAGCCAATTGGCTGGCTCAGGGGGTGTGGCTTGCCACATTTAAGGCAAGCGTGGCAGAGGATCTCCCTCTTTGGCTGCTCAGCTGGGGTGATTTCCCACCCTCCTGCCCTTCATGGTTTCTTCTTTGACCTTGCTATGGACTTCGGTTGGTCGCCGTTAAGGGGCCTGGTAGGAATTTTTCCACTTGGCAAACTGGCACCAGCCATTTGGTTTTTTTGCCTACCTCGTAGTAAATCGTCACAACTTCTTCGGTTTTGGTGGTTAGGCATTGGTAGGGGTATTGTTATGTAGATGTGTTGGGGGGGAGGAGTGCCATCACCTCCCCCAAATATTGAAGGGTAGTCAGGTAAAGGATTCCGGGGGGCGTGGCCTTGTCCGAAGCCTATGGAGGTGAGGGCCTAAGACCCCAGGGAAGCTCCTAGTTTATGTGCATCAGCAGGGCTCCCCCTGCTGGTGTTAACCCTTCCCAGTCTTCTAGCAATCAGGCTGAAGCCGGATAGTCGGATAGGACCAATGCCTAAGCCAATACCGCTCATCACCTGTAACCAATAAAGTTGTGGCCAATTTTTGCCCATTAACCTAATATAGTTGTGTCACGTGTCTTTATTCCTTCTGGTGGGAGGCGGGAACTCGCCACGCAATCTAGAAAGACAATACCTAGGCTCCAAAAAGACTCATATACGGCCCCATATATTGTTGCGTATATATTTACCATTGACTCTATTTGATATCTTATAGCTAATGTTGCTTTTTATGCTCCCGCTACCCCAGGCAGCAGCTGGTGGTTCTACAGCAGCAGTCCAGCTGACCATTCGTGGGTCATACACAACTAATTTAAACTCAGAGTATACCCATTTAAAGTTCTGACCATAAAACTGCCATACGCCGTCATTCTCATGGGCTTGAATAATATTGGAGTCTACTCTAGGGGAGGGGTTCATGTATCATGTGCTTCTGACCATTCTATCAGCAAAAACACTTCTACTTGCTACCTGGAATGATTCCACACTCTCCACCAACCTCCACATGGTATTATGGGAGTTCTCCTGACCCTCCAGAGAAGATATGAAGGATGTGCAGTTATGAGTGGGCACAGGAGAGGGAGAAAGGCCTGTTGCACTAGTGGGAGTCCCAGTGCTGATTTCTGCTGGAATGCTGGGTTGTTAGAATCCAGTCCTATGATCTTAGAAGAAAACCCAAAAACCAGTGCTATGATGCAGTGTAAATTTTATTAGGAATGTAGAAGACAGCATTTCAGTGAACAACAAACAGATTTGAACAGGGCAAAATGCAAAAAGCTCATGCGATTGAACAGCTTATTTGTTTCTGAGAGAGGTGATGTATTTAAATAATATTATTGCTCCTCTCCTTTACAGAAGGTCCTCAGTTACCTGGAAGTTCCGGTGCAACTGAGGTGCTAATTTCCTTGAGAGAGAGAATAATTCCTGTGCACTTTACTCTGTCATAGGAACATATGCCTTGAAGAGCTCTAGGCAAATAAATAAACAAACATCGGAGAGGAATATAAATAGTGGGAGCAAGTTTAGATAGCAAAGAAATGCATGAAAGATCTAGCTGGGCCTGATTCCCAGGGGTGCTGAACCCCAGCTCCCATTGGGACTGACTGGGATTGGGGTGCTCATCATAGCTAAACTCAGGTGTAGCTATTCTGCTGTTTATCTGGGTCTGTCTTCTTCTTGCTAGCTGATAGTCCATGTGAACTTAGCAGGGGGTGTAACAGATGCTTCCTCTGTCTCCAACGAATCCATAGCGACTCCCAAGTCCAAAACGAGATCCTCTAAGACCACCAACTCCAAGAGCACCGGCTCCAAGAGAACCAGCTCCGAGGAACCCACTGCCCAAACCACCAGGGGAGCATGGAGCATTTCCTCCTACGGCCACGGGCTCACAGCTAGCAGAGAGGATGGGTCCTGGGATGGTCACGACAGAGGCGGGTGGCTGGATCATGACCTCTGCTGGTGGGATCTGGTTGATGCATGAAGGGGCGACACCAGAAAGAATACCAAGACTAGCAGAAGGGATGCCAGATCCCACCAGGGCACCGGAGCCATAGCCATAGGTGTCGCCAAGGCCAAGGCCACCAAGGCCACCAAGGCCTCCAAGACCTGCTGATCCAAAACCGACGACTGGGGTGGAAGCGCAAGATGGGACAGCACAGGATGGTCCACAGTTTGCCATGGCTGAGTGTTGGAGGTGAGTCTACAAGGACACAGGAAGGAGCAGAAACAATACTATAGATAAGAAGTGCTACAATGCATTAAAGCCTAAGTTAGGTTACCCAATGGCCCATCTAGTCCAGCATTCTCACAGTGGTCTTCCTGATGGGAGCCTTGTAAGTAGAACAGAAGCAGAAGAGCACCCACCTCCCTCTGTTATTCTGAAGCATTACTGCTTTTGGCCATGGATGGCACAGCAAAGGTGTCATGCCTAGTAGCCATTGAAGGTCTCATGGAAGCAATGTCCATACAATCTGTGGGAACAATTTAAGATAAGCTTTGCTGGATAAACCAAATTCCCATTTGGTGCAGTTTCTTGCTTTAATGTTGGAGAAACAGATGCCTGTCCCGACAGTGCAAGGAATGCAAGGATTGGAAGAGTGGCAGGGATAGATGTGGGGAGAGACAGCCTAACCATGAGTGTCTGCCTGTTTACTGTGTACCAGGGATAAGGAACTGCATCCATCTATTCTAGTTGTTCCTGGAGAACAGCTCCATCATCCGTGACCATCATGTCTGCTGAGTGGGGCTGACACGAGTTGCAGCCCAATAATATATGGAGGGCCACAGCCTCAACCAAAGAGTAAGGCTGCATCTGACAAATATCTTCATGTCGGAATTCAACTTCCATTTTGCAAGAAACACCCATTCTGTGGATTGAACTAGCTCAAAGAATCACCATGCCATGCATATTTTTTAAAGCGAAACAGAGAGGAAGAGATGGATGGAGACAGATATGTCTTAGAAAAGTGACAAATGGTATTCCAAAAACCCCTTCTGGAGTCATCCCTCTTACCTGCCTTTCCAAGCAATAGAAAGCTGAGAGATGTCGGAAGCTCTGGTGGAACTGATGGAAAAGCTCTCCAAGCCATGAGTTTATATACTCTCAGCCTCACTGGTCTGTGGTTTCAGGACACAGTGGTGGTTTTCTTTTTTTCTTCCCCTGTTGTCCTAATTAGCTGCCGACAAATTGCCTCATCAGCATCACACACCAGATTACTTTAATAATAGCCGTGAAGAGTTGGAGCAATTTGTCTTTAATGAAGCTGTTGTTAGATTCTCACAGTAACTGCACTGCACATTCCAACACATTGATTTTCCTTCTCCCCTCACTGAGATAATGTTCCACCAGCTTCATTTCAGATCAAATAAAGCAGGGAAACTTTGCAAAGAGGCCATGTGGAGGCATCACTGAACACAAGCCACTCATCATCATAACCCAGGAAGAGCCTGGCTGGATTAGGCCATAAACCAAAGGCCCACCTAGCCCCGCATCCAGCTCCATACTTGCCCCTCTGGAGAGGGGCTGCTTAAAATGGGGGCCGCTTTAGCACCCGTTGCTGCTGGCACCAACAAAGCCCAGCCCCCTTCCTCCTCTAGGCAGGGCGGGGAGAAGCCAGGAGGAGGGAAGGTGCTGCCGCCGTGTGAGGGAGAGAGAAAGAATGTGCGTGCTGGTGATCCACATGGCGATTCCTGGGCCGTCCACGGCCCAGATCCAGAAGGCAATTGGGCCTGATCCAGCCCACGGACCTTAGTTTGCCTACCCATGGTGTAGACAATACTGTATAGACAATACAATAGTATGGTTTGATATAAGGCAGTTTCCAAGGCTCTGAGCTTTTGCTGAACCCTGCTTTCAAGCTAAACATTTGAGGCAGGTTCCTAACCCACAGTTTTATTAATTCCCATATTTGTAACTGACAGAGACTGAAACTGAGAATGATTCAACCTGCCGCTGCATCTTGCATGGCTAAGCACCCCGTACCTTTCTTTGAGGTTTCCTAGAACAACAAATCAAACAAAAACAAACACAGGATATTTGCTTCCTCAGAAGCTTGGCATTTTTTCGGAGCCATTTTCCAAGATCAAAGTGCCCATCAAAGCAAACTTCTCTCATAGACTGTTCATGCCAAGAACTAAATGCCAGGCTGAGATTTAATAAGAACATGGCTGCAAGCCGAAGCTCCTGTTATGGAGTCCCGACACTCCACCATCTTTTCTAGTGACAGGTCGGATATTACATATTACACAATAAAGACCTAATCTCTCAGAAGTGTCCACATAGCAAATTTGTGGAGTTTAATGAACACTTCAGCCCAGCTTCTCATAACAACATGGCCCATCTAGTCCAGCGGCCTGTTCTCACAGATGTCCCCTTTGAGATAAAGGTAAAGGTAAAGGGACCCCTGACCATTAGGTCCAGTCGTGACCGGCTCTGGGGTTGCGGTGCTCATCTCACTTTATTGGCCGAGGGAGCCGGTGTACAGCTTCCAGGTCATGTGGCCAGCATGACTAAGCCCCTTCTGGCGAACCAGAGCAGCACATGGAAACGCCGTTTACCTTCCCGCCAGAGCGGTACGTATTTATCTACTTGCACTTTGACGTGCTTTCAAACCGCTAGGTTGGCAGGAGCAGGGACCGAGCAACGGGAGCTCACCCCATCACAGGGATTCGAACCACCGACCTTCTGATCGGCAAGTCCTAGGCTCTGTGGTTTAACCCACAGCGCCACCCGCTCTCTCGTAAAGGAAGAGATATATTCACAATTGTATTTGAATATCTCAAAAAGTATATTGTTGAGCTGTGGAAAAGGGGGCAAGCAAAATGATCAGGGGACTGGAACAATTTTCCATAGTTACATTGCTTGCCACTCTTTAGTTTAGAACAGGCATAGGCAAACTCGGCGTCCTCCAGATGTTTTGGGACTACAACTCCCACCATCCCTAGCTAACAGGACCAGTGGTCAGGGATGATGGGAGTTGTAGTCCCAAAACATCTGGAGGGCCGAGTCTGCCTAAGCCTGGTTTACAACAAGTAACTAAATGAAATAATTTTGTGGAGTGATGACAGAGTGGATAGAGAGGAGCTTTTCTTCCCAACCACACTCACAGCACTATGATACCACATAGTCATTGCTCCCCCCAAAGAATTCTGGGAGCTGTAGTTTCCCAGGGGTGCTGAGAGTTGCTAGGAGATCCCCTATTCCACTTCCAGAGCTCAAATGACCTATGTTCCATGAGGAGAGGAATTTTTAAAGAAAAATCAATTTTGTTAAACGTTTTCAGCTTATAATACAATAAAAACCAAACAAAGGTAATTTCTAAAGAGAGCAAAATAAGAAAAAGAAAAAGAGGGAGGAGGAGGAAAAAAAGAAACGCACCTACACAAACACAAAATTTTATATTTTATCAACCTTCTGTCTTAATCTTCAATTCACAGAGATCCATGTCTTCCCGCTTGGGACAGCTCCCATCTTTCTCAGCCTCACACCCTGAGAAAAACCACCCCATTCTGTCTCTCCTACAGATCTGAAGAGGGATTGATTGTGAAACCACCCTGAAAGGTGTAGCTTTGAATTAAGTAAAGGATGATTGAAATAGGAATATAGGAAGCTGCATTGTGCTGAGTCAGACCGTTGGTCCATCCAGTTCAGTGTTGTTTACACTGACTGGCAGTGTCTCTCCAAGTCTTCAGACAGGAAACCTTTCCCAGCCCTACTTGGAGGTGCCAGGAATTGGGAACTCTTGAATGCAAGGCAGATACTCAACCACCCTTGAGACAGAGGGTGGTTGAGAGGGTGAGACTGAGACAATGTGCCTTAAGGGACCTACAGGGCTCCAGTCCCAGATTACCAAACAGGTGGATATTGGTTGATGGACAGAGTTGCATGACATTCAACAAACTTGGGTCTGATCTGTCTAGTCTAAAAATGCCCTTAATCTCAAATTACAGTGCTAGCTTGAGGTCTCACACACTAGTACATTACAATTCTCCTGAAGAATTGATATAGCTCCTCCATTTTCAAGAACAGTGTATGAGCTATTCCTGGAAAAGACTTCATTGGGTTTTTTTACTGGGAATAGCTAGTACACTGCTCTTGAAAATGGAGGAGCTATATAGATTATTGCTTCTGTGCCCTACTCAGAAGATTCACAGAAGGATCTTGTTGTCCAAAACTAGTCAGACTTTGTGTTTGATCAATAGGGATCTTATTGTATTCTTATATGTGGTGCTACAGAAACAGCAGCCAGTAGGTTTATATTAAACTTGATCTATACAAAATGAGGCCCAAATGTGTGTGAGAGTGTGACCAGTGGCCCCGCAAATGTCACTGGATGCTGAGGGTGGGTGGGTTAACTGTAGATGTCTGTGGATGGTCGACTGTTGATGACTGTGGGTGCTTGAGTGAAGGTTGACTGTGAGTTGACTGTGGAAGTAGACTGTAGGTGGACACTGTGAATCTTTCGGAGGGATGAAGCCCAAGGTGAGAAATAAGAACACATAGGAACTGTTTCAGTTAATAATAAAATAATAAGAATATTTTTTTATTTACACCCTGCCCTTCCCGGTTCAGAAAACTGGGCTCAGGGCGGCTAACAACAAATTTAAAACACTTAATTGTAAAAGCAGCATAAAATACAGTATAAAAACATGAATAACGATAAAATTCAAAGTTCAAAAATCAATTTGGGAGAAATCCATCCAGTAAACATTGGATAGTCACCAGGGCTAGCTGGCTGAATTGGTCCTACTTGGGCCACCGAGGAGAGCAGGGGAGAATTAGCTGTGGGATCCCAGAACGGGTGATTTTCATAAAAGGGGAGGGGGAGAGAAGAGAAGGGAAATAAAAGATCAAGGTGAATTCAAATTAAAGGCCAGGTGAAATAGCTCTGTCTTACAGGCCCTGCGGAAGGAGGTTAAATCCTGCAGGGCCCAAGTCTCATGGGACAGAGCATTCCACCAGGTCGGAGCCATCACTGAAAAGGCCCTGGCCCTGGTGGAGGATAGTCTGACTTCCTTAGGGCCTGGGACCTCTAAACTATGATTATTCATGGACCTTAAGGTCCTCTGCAGGGCATACCAGGAGAGGCGGTCCCATAAATACGAGGGCCCTAAGCCACAAAGTTAAAACAGGGGCAAGGAATCTATGGGACTCACCGGATGTTGTTGCACTCTAACTCCTATCAGCCCTAGCCGGCACTATCAATTATTGGGAATGATGGGAGTTTTAGTTTCAAATCCTTTTTTTCTTTCATTTTATTCAGATTAGCTTGGTTTTTGTTGTATTATGTTGAAAAGTTTCAATAAAAATTCTTTAAAAAACAACACAAAATCAACAGCTCAAAATCCTATGCATGTTTTCTCACAAATAAGTCCCACTAAGACCAACAGTCGTCAGTGTGGGACATCAAGTCACTAGGCATGATACTAAAATATTAATGAAAATTCCCAGAGAGAAGACAGAGAGAACTTGAAAAGACGATCTGAGTAATTTATTGTAATAAGCTGAGGACAGCAGAGTCCTTGGCCCTGACACCACTGGGATTATTAAAGTAATTATGCACATGATGAAACCAGCAGATTTTGAGGGCAGATCTTGAGAGCAAAGAGATGTCATTGAGCAGGGATGCCACAGACACAGTATAAAAGGCCCTCACCTGCCCAGAGTCCTCCAACAGCTTCACTGATCAGCTTCTCTTGCCTTTTCATTTCTCAAAGGAACAGGTAAGTTTCACTTGTCCAGGTCATCTTGGCACTTCGAATTACAGGAGCTAAGATTTGGGTAGAATGTAAAGCAGCTCAGCAATGCAACCAATGAGCCAGCTCATGTTGGCTATGTTCTTTGGTTAT